GTTGTAATGTGACAAAATATGGAAAAGTTCAAGGGGTATGAATACTTTTGCAAACCACTGTATATGAAAACTGCTGAACAACATGGGTGCCATGCTGATTTACACAAACTCCAGTTTTTTCTTCTGTTACTCAAGGCTACTCTGCTCATTAATAGCCTCAGCCAATCAGAAGGCCAGGTCTGCACATTAATAACCTCAGCCAATCAGAAGGCCAGATCTGCTCATTAATAGCCTCAGCCAATCAGAAGGCCAGGTCTGCTCATTAATAGCCTCAGCCAATCCGAGGGCCAGGTCTGCACATTAATAACCTCAGCCAATCAGAAGGCCAGGTCTGCTCATTAATAGCCTCAGCCAATCAGAAGGCCAGGTTTGCTCATTAGTAGCCTCAGCCAATCAGAAGGCCAGGTCTGCTCATTAATAGCCTCAGCCAATCAGAGGGCCAGGTCTGCTCATTAGTAGCCTCAGCCAATCAGAAGGCCAGGTCTGCACATTAAAAACTTCAGCCAATCAGAAGGCCAGGTCTGCTCATTAGTAGCCTCAGCCAATCAGAGGGCCAGGTCTGCTCATTAATAGCCTCAGCCAATCAGAAGGTCAGGTTTGCTCATTAATAGCCTCAGCCAATCAGAAGGCCAGGTTTGCTCATTAGTAGCCTCAGCCAATCAGAAGGCCAGGTCTGCTCATTAATAGCCTCAGCCAATCAGAAGGCCAGGTTTGCTCATTAGTAGCCTCAGCCAATCAGAAGGCCAGGTCTGCTCATTAATAGCCTCACCCAATCAGAAGGCCAGATTGAGACGTTGTTACAGGGAGGGGCAGAAATGAACTTCAGCACCGTACTTTCAAAGTGACAAACCTGCTGAAAGTTTAGTTCAGACAAACAGCTGCTGTGTAAAAACTATGTGATCTCATGAAATCATTCTTGAACCTGAGTGAGAGAACAGATTGTTTTTTACTCATGGAAAGTTTCACATTTTTATGATGTTTTATGTCAGAGATATGATCAGTTAAATACAGTCCTTATGCTTCAGAACTAGAGCATGACAGGAATTTAACATGGAGCTAGATAGGACAGGAAGTGGTACTTCCCTGACTTCTGATGCACTTTGAGAGAAAACCAGTTGTCCTACAACAAAACCATAAACACTGACTGAAAGAAGACACAATGCCAACATTTTGTTGTATAATTTGTCTGTGTATCATGAAAATGGTGGCTGTAGAAAGAAGTTGTTGCTAAGAAATAGTTTTAAGCCAGCTGCACTCTAGGTCACATGACTGTGTGGCTGAGCTCAGTGCGTTTACTGTAGTTTTTTGTGATTCACATCACCATGGTAACTGGAAACATCACTAAAAGCAATAGCACACCTCCCACCATCAAGCTGGTTGTTTTGATATAAGTTGTAGGGCTGCATGTTGCCGTTTGGGACACATTAATGTTTGACCATAAAAAGATAGAAAAAACAGATCTTTTCTGAGGTGGATCATAAAAGGTGAAGGCGGAGGAACGCCCTGATTAAACATCAAACACAAATGGAATTATAATGTTTTTTAAACCAACATGAATTTAAAATGTTTGTAATAAAATAATATACTAAAAAATGTAAAAGGAAATGAAAGTGAAAGTTAAATAAAAATATTTTTGTTTTCAGAAAAAAAAATCTAAAAGTAATGAGCACTGAGATGAATGATAAATGATAAGATCGATGAGTTGTGATAAAAATGAGATGAAAGTAAAGTCAGTCCTCTCCTGACGTTTGGTTGTTTCCTGCTCAGAAAATGAAGGAACAAGCTCAACTTTACTCATCGGAGGTGAAACAGATCGACCTGGACATCAACAGAACCTTCAGAAACCACATCATGTTCATGGATCGCTTTGGGGTCCGGTAAGTCTCACAGAGTGGAGTCAGGCTTCATCCAGATGATCAGGTTTGTTTAAACCCACCAGCTCTGTTCATGCTGAGTGCGTTCAGAAGGAAGGATCTAATAAATGTGGAGATGTGGGAGGAGCTTCAGCTGTTTCTAATGACCTCATGTTTCCTTGTTTCCTCTCCTTGTTCCCTCAGGCAGCAGTCTCTGTTCCATGTCCTCGCAGCGTATTCAGTTTATAACACCGTGAGTAAAACTTCAAAATACTCAGTAAAGTTTTACTACATTTAGGTTTTCTGAGTATCATCCATCATCCATCCATCATCCATCCACCCCCCTGAAGGTGATCTGGGTGTCAGACCTGCTCGCAGCAGATGAGGGTGATATCTGGACTCAGGTGAGGATCAACAGATCTCTGGTCCATCTCTGGGTCAGAACCAAGGCTTTTAATCTGAACCTTCTGCAGGTTTTCAGTTGGTCTCGCTCCAAACAGAGGAGTTGGTGGTTGAAAGAGGTTTTCAGCAGAGTGGGGGTCTGTGGGGGTCAGGTGCCGGTGGGGACCTGAAGTGTTTTCTGAACTGGAGCAGATCCAACAGCCTGATTATCAGTGAAGCTGAAGGTGTCGGTAAGAATCCTCTCCAGTCAGTGAAGCAATCAGAACCACACGACTGCTTCTAATTTCCATCCTGGATGATTTCAACCAAAATCAGTTCTTCATGTTTGTTTCACATTAAAATCTGAGGAAGAAAAGCAGCCGTTTAAACTTCACAGGCAGGAAATTATTCTACACTGTAAAACCCAGGAGAGACGAAATAATCAGGTAAAAATACTTTCTGAAACAGAGTTTTACCAATCAAAGCAGCTGAATCAGAAAGTCAGCTTCAGTTTTAGAAAAGATTAAAGAACGTCAGACTGAAGGACTCAAGTGGAACAAATGATAAAGTTTGTAGGAACACGTTCTGTCCTTCCATCACTGCAGCTGACAGGCTTCAGCTGAAGAACCTGTAAAACTGAATCCTTTTTAAAAAGAAACAGTTTCAGCTCTAAATGTGACGCCATGAATGAAACGTTTGAGCTGCAGGAGTTCGTTGTGAATCAGAATCAGTTTTTAAACACATTTCTTCAACGCTCTCTCTGAACAGTTCAGGTTCTTCAATAACATCTGAGATCTTTAACCAGAAGCTGAAAATATCTGATATAAAAAGTACAAATGATTCTTTTAGAGTGGATCTTAAGGAAAAAACTGCTTCTGTTTTTAACTCAAAGTGATTTAAGCATAAAAAACAATCATTACAGACCCAGATCCTCACTTAGATTTAACTCAAACTAAATTTATTAAACACAACTGCTGGACCTTTGTGATAACAAAACATTGTTAACTCCAGGTTTTTTACAGAAACTGAGGCGACACAAGCTGAAAGTCGTCAATTCAATTCAGATTTATTGTCACATCACACAGCACAAGAGTACAGGTGAGTGAAAAACTTGAGTGCAAATTCCCACCTATATGCAGATCACAATATACAGTGGTTTGCAAAAGTATTC